TCCAAACATCCAAATATCAATTTAATTATGGACTTGAATTTAAAATTTAATATCAAATAACCAAAACAAAACATCATCCATTATTAAAATACAATACATAAACCAACATCCAAACATCATCCATAATTAAAATACAATCCATAAACCAACATCCATAATTAAAGTACAATCCACACCACAATCCATAATTAAAATGCAATCCACGCAATCCATATAAAATCATCCATAATTAAAAATTTAAATACAATCCATTAAACATCTATAAACCTAATACAAATACAAATACAAACATTAACTTCCAAAATCCAACTTCCAAATCTTGGCATTTCCTAAATAAAAAAACCACCTCATTAACTCAAAATAATCTATCAAAATATTCAAGTTGGAAAAATTAATATATCATGCAAAAAAAATTAAAAACTTACCCATGTCATCCAAACGATCAAAACACCATTAATCCATCATATATCTATCATAGTTGGCACCAAGCAAGTGTTGCTATATCTAAAAAAATAAAAAAATAAAAAAATAAATCAATACTTCAACATTATTAAACATCAAACATCTTAAATAAAAAAAAAAGACAAATAAAAGATAAAGAATTAACAAAATTATCCACTTCAATTTTGTCAAGATCTTGCAAATCTTCTTCAACATTAACTCGGTGTTAATGAATTTCGAAGCCAATCTTGAGCACATATAAGAGATTGGACAATGTTAGGAGTTAAAGAACTCTTAAAAGAGTCGAGAAATCTTCCTTTAGTACTAAATGAAGATTCTAAAGCAACACTTGAAATAGGAACCGCTAAGACATCACGAGCCATTTGAGAAAGAATGAAAAATCGAGCATAATTATTTTTCCACCACATCAAAATATCAAAATCTTTATCCTCTTTCTCGACAAGCTTCATCAAGATACCTATCCACGTCCGATTTATTTTCTCCACCTTCAACATCAATCTTGAATTTTTTATATTTTAATTTCATCCCACGAACCACACCCATTGGTCCTCGCTCAACCACTTCTTCATTTGCATCTTCCATTCTCCCACCACGTTGGTCAATATTAGATCTTCCCGACTTGCAATATGAATAATACATAGCATATATAGATTTCCTCATAAGATTTGTCATCATTTCACCATTCAAATCACCAAACAATTCATTGAAAGAAAATTGAACAAATCAAAATTTATGCCTAGGATCAAGAATTGTTGCAATATAAATCAACTTGTTCACTTTCTTAACATCTCCCCACTACTTATCAAACTTTTTTTCATTCTTGTACCCATTAAACAATCATAAACCGTCGAACTTTGTTGCCATTTTCTCAAAACATATTCAACCCCATAAATCTCTTCAAAAAAAACATTAGAAGTGACACATAAAGAACCCAAAACAAGCAAAGTAAGATTATAAAAAGATTTTAACATGTCCATCATTTTCCTACAAACTATCCAATCATTTGCATTAGGCGTTCCAAATACATTATCTCCATGATCACATCAAGCTCACATCTATATAATGGATCAACTTGCTCAAATCTCTTAAAAGTTCTCTCAAATTTTTAGGCCGTATCTAACATCAAATAGATTGAATTCCACCTAGTTGCAATATCTAGATGTAACAAACTCTTAGAATCAATCTTTTCTATCTCAATGCATTCCTTAAAGTTTTTTAACCTAGCCGGAGATTGTCTCACATACCTCACCGCAACTTGAACACAAAGGATCGAAGGATTAACATGCTTTAACCCATCAACAACAACAAGATTCAAAATATGTGCCACATACCTCATATGAAAAAATTCCTCATCTAAGATACTATGACCTCAATTCTTAATAACATCTTTTTTAAGTGTCTAATTGCCACATCATTAGAACCCGTATTGTCAATCGTAATAGTAAAAACCTTTTCAATCTCTCAATCAATTAAGCACTTCTTAATGGCATTGTCTAAATCCATACCCCTATGACTATCAACCAAAAAAAAATTGAAGATCTTTTTATGTAACTTCCAATCATTATCAATGAAATGGGCCGTTAAACACATATAATTGATTCTTTGAATAGATGACCACATGTCCGTAGTGAGACAAACTCTTTGAGCATTCGTTTTCAAGAATTACTTCAATACTAATCTCTCATTTAAAAAAAATTGATAGCAATCTCTTGAAACCGTTATGAAATTTTGAATCTAGGTAATGTAATGGACATAAACTTTTGAAATCCCATAACCTCCACAAATTTAAATGGAAGTTCATCTACAATGATCATGAAAGCTAAAGCATTTCTAATAGTATTTTGATCAAATTTTCATATGCTAAGAGTGTTTTCTCCTTCAGTACTTGAGTGAAGGTAGAGTGTTTTCTCCTTCAAGTACTTTAGTGAAGGTTTAATTGAGTTTGTGAATTCTCAATACTATAGGGGTGTTTTTTACATACAATCATATGAGAGTTAAGTGTGGTAGTGCCATTTTTTATAGGATCAACGACAAGTGCCTTATCATAATAATTGCATCTTGCTTTGATTTCTTTGTTTTCATCTTCAAACTTGGTGAAATGTTCCCACACAATCGATCTTGGCTTCATTGCTTTCCTCTTTATTCCCTTATCATTTTGTGTGTTTATTTGAGCTTCACTTGGAGTTGATGGTTCATTGGTTGAACTCATAATTTCTTCGAGTTGTGACATCCGTACAAAGGAAAAAAACTATCACATTAGCATTAACATTAAATTTCAACAAGTAAAGTGTCTCTTAATGCATTAAATCAAATATAAATAGTGTCAAGCAAAGTGTTTTGTTAAGCAAAGAAAAAGTGTCCATGTCTACATTGTCTAATCGAAGCAAACAAAAGTTCTATAAGTTTGTGTTTTTTGTCTTGTTAATTTCAGCAACATAGATGAATTACCGACATTCCAAGGAATTATAGCATACATGAATTAACTTGTTTACACGATATTTTCAGTTATGTAGAAACAATAATGATGATGCATTCTCGTTTTTCATAGGCTTACGCATGCTTGTAATTCTATATTATATGTCGATGAAACCAATCGAAGAAGTAAATGCCTTTAATGGAGGGTAGGCTCTTAGTGGTAATGAATGTGAACCCAACATTAATAATATTACTATTAAAGAGAGGTTGATGCTTTATTAATTGGTAAAACAATTCCAAAGTATCCCAAACACTCCAAGTATCAAAAACTCCAACATGGACTTCCTTGCTTTATTTTAAAAAAATCAATCAAAGAATCTCCAACAACCGCATACCAGGATTTTACAAACATCCAATTTTACATACGAAATTTCATAGTTCTACAAGATGAAGATTTGTCTTTACATTCAAATTCTACAGAGAAGGGTGCATTTGTAACAAATACAACTCTTTAAATAATCCATAACCTAACATTCTTATTCAACATTTGAATGACACGAAAGCAACTAGAAAAAACATTGTTACGGACTTACGGTTAAAACTCTCTCTCCTCGTCCCCATATAACTTATCACCATGTCTCGAGAATAAAATGAATCCCTCCCTACCATGATGAAACTCATCACCATGTCCCAAGGCCGAAGATCTTCATCGTCATTCTCTCCCCTTTCAATTATCTTTTTAATTTTGTATGTTACTAAACTAGAAACCCATCTACAAAAATGATTTTGCTTTCCCACCTGTAGAACTATTTTCTTTTTTATTTGAACCAATTTTATTTACATTTAAGATAAATGCTCATGTTAAGAAATTCAGTATTCGGAGTTTTGAGTTTTAACAAGGGGAAAAAAACTCAAGAAATACTACTTGTAACCCTTTTTATTTACACTTTATTTCGATAACTCAAACCGCATTTTCTTTAAATTTTCTATGAATTTGCAAAGATTTACTTGCGGATGTGATAGCAACCATCGACAAACTAAGTATATTAGCAAGCTAAGAACGAGTGCAAGCAGAGAATAATGCAAGGCAAGTGGAAAAATTACATGTATAAATACACCCACATTTGAATTTTGATTATGAAAATTGAAAACTTACCGTGGGAAAAGGGAATGTCGACTGTCGAGTGCAAGCTAAGCAATGAGTGTGTGGATTGGGTGGTGATTGGTGACTATCGACCGGTCATCGATGAGCACTAAGCGAAGTGGAGAACGGGTTACGACTTACGAGAGTTTTTAGGGGTGAGATTTTGGGTTTGGGTGAGCAGATTGGTAGTGGCAGTAGGTGGCGGTGAGAAACCGAGAAAGCAAATGAGAAGAAGTGAAGAACTAAAACGATACTAACAAGATTATTAGGGTTTTGAGTTTTGTGTGTTAAAATTTGGTTTCCGGTGGAAACCAAATTTTTTAAAAATTAACCGAATCGAACCGAAATAATTTCGGTATTTTGGTTCATTTTTTTTTTTAAATGAACCAAATTTGTTAATTCAGCTTCCGTATGATTCGATTTTTTGGGTTTTATCAAATTGTGCTCACCCCTAATCGAGAAGTTGAAGTTGATCCATAAACGCCTCGGTATTGCACATAATAGATAAAAAATTATGTAGGAGACATGTAAAGTTTCAAAATAATGATTATGTGTTTTTTTGAATTTCTTTAATAAAGGAAGTAATTTGGTTTAGTAAGAAGAGAAAGTTGAGTTCGAGGTATATCAAATCGTTTAAGATCATAGGTCAAATTCTATTTCAAAAAATAAAATAGAAAATGATTAAATAATTAATTTTTAAAACATGGAAGATTAATTGTTTTTTTCAAAACTAGAGGGAATAATTTGTAAGTCTTTCCCAAGCTAGCTCGGAAGAACGGCGTGCAGGCTTCTACGAGATCCCGAATCAATTTTGGCCAATGCGCGCATATTCCTCATTGTAAACTGCCATCTGAATGACAGTTCTGACCCTGGTCGCTAACTGTCCTAATCCTTCTATTTATATCAGAAAAACCGCAGGATGTCTCTCGGTAAGGCTGCAAGCAACTAATAGAAACAGCACCGTCAAGATTCTCTCCGAATGGCATCTCTCTCTTCTGTCCAAACGCTGCTCCTGCTGCTCGCCTTCGTAACGCCATCGTATTGCATGATCGAGGAAGGGAGTGCAATAGAAGGACAGAGAGAGTTCGATTACTTCGCCTTGGCTCTGCAATGGCCTGGCACCTACTGCCAGCGCACCCGCCATTGCTGCTCTTCAAATGCTTGTTGCCGAGGGTATTGCTGTCTTTATATTTCTATCTTGTTTTTCTAATTACTCACTGCAGTCATAATAATGATACAGATCGAGTATCACTTGCTTGCAAATTGGAATCAATTTTGAAATTTTGAACCTATCGATTTAGTTTGTGCCTGCTGGAAAATTCGGTATTATTTTGTGCCATTATTTCTTGTTTGCAGTAATTTTCTTTTGTCTAAATCATTTTTTTTGGGTGATTTGGTTCTGCTAATGTATGATACAGAAAACCTGGCAGTGGAACTAACATTGAATCTGCTGTATGTTTTCTTTTTCCAGCGCGAATGCTCCGACTCAATTTACAATCCGTAAGAACAACTCCATGATACGTTATTCTTTATATTGCAAAACTCAGTGTGGTGAATCTAATTCTTCCTTCAATATGAAGACTAAAAGGGTGGTGGTTGGAACTACTTTTTTTGAACTCGATAGTTATTATTGAAAAATCCATGAATCACAAAGGAGGCTTTGGGAGTCCCTGTTGAAAAACTATGCCCTTCAGGGAAACTCTAAAATTGCCTGGGCTATCTTTTTAAACTTGAAAACAAGCTGAAAGTCGGTTTCCCTTTTTTTTGACAACTTTGCCATGTTTTAAATCATTTTTGAAAGTCAGTTTTACATCATGATGTAATGGGGCTTTAATTTTAGTCTCTTTTGTTGTTGAAGTGGTGGTAGGTTATCCTTTTGCGGTCATGGTGCACAGAGCTTTGAAAAATTATGCTAATGTGTTTGCTGTACTTGTCTGGTAGATGGTCTCTGGCCTGACTATAATGATGGAACATGGCCTGCCTGTTGTACTCGATCTGATTTCAATGAAAAAGAGGTACCATTATATTTCCCCTCAATTTGCTTCATTTCCTTTTCATTTTAATCTTACTTACGCATATGGATACTGCCTTTGCTGTGGAGTTTTAAATGTTAGAAAATAGTTTGCAGAAAGAGTGATCTTGACTATATACTTTTGGACAAATTAATAGTTCTGTTGGTAGTAGAATTACTGCCAAAATATTGCTATAGAGAACAGAAAGCATCAAATGTTCTCGTAATGCAAGGAATTGGACTCTGATAGCTATGCTATGTGCCTTTTCCAGACAAGAATAATAAGGTATCGGTTACAGGGTATGGAAGGTTTTCTAGATTTTCATTTTTGTTAAGTTCTGGCACCCATTGCTGTATTCTTGATAGGCAGCTTTATAGCATGGTCAGATGATAAGGTGGATTTCATGCACCTATTTGTATTTATGGTGCAATTGCCGATTTCATGTACATATGCGTTTTGGCTCTTGTCCTTTCTTTGTCAGTTGCAATTTCTCCAGGCCTTTTCATAAGAATTTAACCAACAATAACATGCACGGACATAGATTAGGATTATGTTTGCATGTATATCTCAAAGCATGTATGCTGGTTAACTCCTGTGATTCAAAAATCAGTTATGTTTTCTTAGTGCTTTTATGTCCCAACTACCCTAACTATTTGTGTAACATGCAGATCTCCACATTGCATGATGCTCTAGATAAGTATTGGCCATCTCTTAGTTGTGGTTCACCGTCAACTTGCCATGGTACAAAAGGATCCTTTTGGGCACATGAGGTGGTTTCTACTTCTGTCTATTTGTGGCTAAATTATCCTTGACTATGATTCCAAACTGACTTTTGTCTCTATTTGTCATGCTATGTGATGGCGAAAATGGGGAAATGCTCCTTGGCAGTGGGGTAACTTTATTCAACTTTTGCTCTCTTACATGATATGAATGAATTGTAGTTTGCTGTCTTCTTTTAGATATAAACAGAAAGGGAGTGGTAATATGGAGATCCATATCCAATGTGTGGTAGCGTATTGAGAGATCCTTGTTACATAACTTGAGCCCAATAATAGCCAAAGCAACTCTAGCTAACACTTTTAGGTGATGGGCGGCTGTGTTGCAGTTACAGATACCCAGTACTTTCTCATGATGGATGCAAAGCTCTCTGTTATGCATATATCACAAATAAAAAGATATGTTAGTAGATATTCAGGGGCCATGTGCAATTGCTAATGTCCAGCTCTCCGACTAAGTTGTTGAAATAGATAGAAATTTAATTCGAGGTTTTTTTGTTAACTTCTGACTTTGGGATGGTTAAGTGTCAAGTTTAAGACAAACATAGCGCAAGCTAGACAGGTCAAGAAGTGACATCCTGTGGAAGCTATGTGTCTTAGGAAGAGCGTTCTCCATCATGTTTAGTGATCAAATAAGAGTATTTGATACAAAGGGTGATGATATTTGGTTGCCATGTATGACGACACTTGATTGTGTGTGTCAAAAAAGAAAAAAAGGAAAAAAAAAGAGATGACTTTTGATGGCGATGCTTTACTCGCAAATGAAAGATATGGTGGATCGCCTATGTTCTCAAATTTATTTATGTATAAATCAACTTCTCTACCGATGAAAATAAAATGTCACAAGTTATTTTGAATGGTATTTGGCCTTAGAAGAGATCAACTACCAGAATTTCTTTGTATGTAAATTCTTGCTCCTTACCCTTTTTCTCTGTCCTTGCAGAGAAGCATGGAACTTGCTCCTCTCCAGTTGTTCATGATGAATATAATTACTTTTTAACGACCCTCAATGTCTACTTTAAATATAATGTTACGGTAAGTGGTCAGGAGTTTTTTTTTAAGATTAAAGAACTTTTAATTTCTAGTAAGCTATTCATTTTTAACACAAACAAGAATCTTGCACAATATCATGGATAAAAGGGAAGATTATGTGTGGCTGTGTGTGTGTATAAAAGCTGGAATAGCTTGCTCCTTTTCTTTTATTCTCATTGAGCTGGATGTATTATGCAGATATTGGTTTGATCAAATTTTATTGAACATGTGTAACTGTATGTCTATTTGTAAAGTGGAATATTAAATACTCTTTTATATCATGATTATAAAGCATCATCTACGTAACTATCTAATTGGTGCATGCTTCTAGAGTTTTGCTTTGCTAACTAATCTACCTTATGTTTCCTCCATTTACTATAGTCAAAATTCTATCCAATGAACTCTCAGTCTTTGGTTTTGGAATTCATGACTCTGTAAGTCAGTTGCATTCATTGTCTGTATGTCATATTTTTTATGCTCTTATGCATAATTTTGCATTGAAAACTAAAATATATTTGGATCAAATTGTATATGAAATTATTTGGTTCATTGAGTTGACCAATAACTGTCCTTTTCACTGTTTGATGCCAGAAAGTACTGAATGAAGCAGGATATGTTCCTTCAAATACTGAGAAATATCCTCTTGGAGGAATTGTATCTGCCATCGAGAATGCCTTCCATGCAACCCCGCAAGTGGTTTGCTCAAAGCATGATTTGGAGGAACTTCGTTTATGCTTCTATAAGGATTTTAAGGTTAGACTTTGTTGCTTATGCTTCTCATCGTGTTCATTTCAGTCCCAATCAAACTGGTTAGAGAAGAATATAGGGGTACTCAATGTTTGTGGAGCATGAAGACAATCAACAGTTATTATGGTGGTTTGAACTTTGTACGCAGCTGATGTTAAGAGGTTACAAGGCCACTGCTGTTTGTTTGTTCTTTATTTTTTACTTTAAACTGCAAAAAGTCTCAAATAATTTAATCCTAACAGTTCTTCCTGAGTACCTAAATTTTTTATCCTGTTTTCCTTTCTATTATTGATGGATCAGATGAGGATATTATGATGTTAGTATTCTAAATGAAGCCTCTTAGTCTGGTATAATTCATGTGCGTTTGTGTCTGCAGAACCACCATTATTGTGAAAAATATATTTCAAATTGTTCTTCCTTTTCATGAAGAAAAATGCTTTGTGTTCTGACTCTTCTCTTTTACAGCCTCGGGATTGTGTAATTCAAAATGACATGTATACTTCAAAGAGCTCATGTCCAAAGTATGTTGGCTTGCCAACATATGTTTCATTGGGTAAGTTTCCTATGCTATCATGAGAATAGATTCTATTACCATAACAGTCCTTATCTCCTCACATTATTGTCAAGTCGTATGATGGCATAAGTTATGGGCAGCTCATGTGCCTCTAGCTAATCAGTGGGTTACTGCGATGTTGATTTGAATATCCAAAAACAGGTGGTTGGAGAGTAACTGGTGGGTTTTTCACATGGGGGCAGAATTTTTTTGCTGATTTTACTGACTTTTAGTTTCCTGTAGGACCCACAAGATGGACAAGAGTGTGAGATTAATTTTTAATCTTGCTTCGTTTTTTTTTTTTTTTTTCCTAACTGTCTCTTTTTTATAACTAAATCCATGGCCATTGGTTTTTTCTCTTCTTGCTGAGGTTTCTGAAACTCCTCTTTCTAGAAGTTCTTTGTTGGGTGTCATAGCAATAGTTGATTTGGGTGATGATGAGCCACTCCACGAATCTACAGTGGCACTGCACAAATAGTGAAATAAATGTATTTGAATAATAGCTAAAGTGAAGGGCTATTATAAATTGATGGAGTGCCATTATCATTCCCATTTTACAAATGCTAGTGTTTTTCATAGTATAAATCAATGTCCTTGCGGCAACATCTTTCATTTCTTGAGAGCTGGAATTCTAGCGTTTATATTTCCCAAAAGTCACAGCTCTATACTCCTCCCAAGACTTAAGTTTCTGTATCTGACATCACTGTGCCACTGAATCTATCCCCTTTTTGCTTGCACTTCTCTTTTGGATTTGTGCTATAGTTGTGGGATGTTTAGTCAGGAGTTTTTTCATCTCTGGTCTTCAGGACTTGTCTTGTGTATCAGAACTACTATTCTATTTGTTATTAAAGTGGGAAGAAAATTTTGGTCCATCATTTGTGCAGTATCAATTTAGCAGTCTTAAAAGCAAATATATTCTGGAAACTAGTGTTCCGGGTTGGGCAGTGGGAAGGAAAAGGGGGAAAACATGGCTGGAGTTGAAGGGTACAAGTCTGTATAGTTGGTTCTAGCACTCATTTGCTGTAATGAGACAGTTGTGGTTTAGGAATTGCCTGAACTGCATGCTTTGAAGATGCAAGTTTATCATGGTTAATTTTACTAATGTTGATATTCAAGCTCCCATCAATGGTGGAATTTGCTTTTAGATTAATGAACAGTTCTAGGTTTATTTTTGTGGTGTTCTGCGTTTTAGGTCTACTTTAACAAGATAGATGACGATGCCTTTCCAGTTTTATTTTTCTCTTATTCTCTATGTACGCCTGCATTGTGTGTATCTGCTCACAACTACATCACTGAATATTGTTCTCAAGAATTTTTTTTACCAGATTCTGTCCAACTTACTTTCGATCGTTTCTTTGTTTATAGGAGTTGACGGTGCTGAAACAGAAGTCTCATGGGTGCCTGATAATGAAGCTCTCTAAGTTCTTGCTACTCTTGTTGAATGTGATTCACAGAATCAGACACTGCTCTCAAATTAATTCAAGTGTCATTGTTCCAGGAGTTGTGAACATTGCTGTTTATTGTATTAGGTGTAGATTCAAATAAAGTGACGCAGAATGTTATTTTAATTGACTAACACTTTTGGCAAGAGATACCTCGAAAATCATATCCACGAAGCCACTGGCATATTGGACGTACTATTCTGTGCATATTGTCTGAGAGATATGAACTTAGATTATGTACACTTCATATGATCTGGTCGCCACCTAAGTTCTCCTTATAATTTGTTTTCTAAACCTTTGGAATATTGGGAATTAATGATAATGTCGTTATTTGTTGTTGTTGTTATATAATGACAATATATTAAATAAACAAAATTTATCTTTTTCGATTTGTTATTAGCATGCTTAATTATATGTAATGACCATATATTGAATAAACAAAACTTATCTTTTTCACTTTGTTATTCGTATGTTTAGTTAATAAAACTTTTAAAGCGATTTAAAACTATGAGCACAACCTCACTTCTCCTGTCTTTCTTCTTCTCACTAAGTCCGCTTCTTTCGAAGTTGAAAAAACCGAGAAAAGGAACATAAACTCTCACGCTAAAAATAATCAACTAATAAACTTGGACAGACCTCTTGAAATAAGAACAGAGAAGAAAAACATGTCTTGGGACCCAAGTTGTTTCTTGGTTACCGTCAAGCATTATCTCATAGACCGACCGTAAATTAATTGGGTCATGTTTTGACGAATCAACAGGAGTTAAAGTTTCAGTCCTGCAATACCAACTTCCAAGTTATGGTTCATCTAGATTGACCAATGCATGTATGTCAAATGCTTGACTTTTGGTCGAAAAGAAAATCCTTGTAAATTCATGCATGTTGCCAGTATTTCTGTTGGTGGTATTGAAACATGCTAGGTTTGCAAGGATCAAACGACAGCATTCACAGCAAGCGAAACACAGACAATTATTGACTTTCTGAGCTTTAACTTAAAACTTAGCACCAAACCGTATGGACATGAAAACTCCCTTTCAATGTTCCAGAAGCTTTCCTGGTGATGAAATTTGCCACCAACCTGCAAAACCAAAAAATACAATCTTGTCTTACTTCTTACGACTAGTGACAAAAAAACCTGATCTTATCCCCGATGGAGATCGGAATCAGACCACAATTAACAACGCTGATGGTAATATGGGGTATGTCACCCTAGAAAAACAGGTAGCGAGGCCTGTTGCATTACAGAGGGTTGGGTTTTGATAGAACTTGAAGAACCCGAAATGGGCATCAAAGGGGAGAAAACTCTCCTCTAAAACATGATCAGCACTCAATCAGCAAGTCCTGCAGGATGCGCCATCAAAATTGATCCATATTGGGTTGATCAGTTTCAAGTCCTATTTTTTGAAGCCCGGAGACAAGAAAAGGAAGTATAATTAGAATAACAAAAGTGTACCTTTGTATAATGATTTTTCATCCGAATGGAAGGCTTAAAATAGCCAAGAAAGCATGAGGCTCAAATTCACAGCATTACCGATAGCAGATGGATTTTTTCAGCAAACTTTATACCCTTAAGCTTAGTATGGCAGCATGCCAAAACCCAATGTAGTCATGTGATCTCCTAGTTTATTGCTCGAAAGAGGATATGCTTAGCATCCTTCTGGATTTACTCCAATTCAATCCTTGAACTACTGTAGAGAATGTGATTCACCAGCTATCAAAAAAATGAAACCTAAAGAAAAGAGACCTCTCCACAACAGACCCTCCTTCCCCTGCACCTCTCCAAAATACCCTAGGAGAAATGGCTAATAACTAGGCAGTACAAAATTAAGCCGCGTTGTTCCACTTAGCAAATGCCCACTTCATCCATGTGGAAAAGCAAGACTTTGAGAGATGTTCTGGTAGATCTGCCTGCAGAAAATCACAATGACCAGATGATTAGTAAAACACACTGTTGGTCTTTTATGTGTCGCCTAAACTAAGAAGAAATCTAAATATATGAAAGCTATGACGAAGATAAGAAAGAATGACTCATGAGAACGATTCAAGAGGATTGAAAAAAAGGGGAAAAAATATTAAGTATTAAATTATTAACACATTGAAGACAGCTTCTTATCTCTTAGCAACTTCTTCAAAAGGTTATGTAAAGGGAAAGTAGAGGACGAACTTGAGACTAAAAAACGACCAAACCAGGATTTATTGCCAGGTGATTTGACAAGTTTTAGCTATATAGAAATGTCTCATGCAACATGTTTTGCTAACAAGATCAGACAGTACAGCAGGACATCATATCATAATGTCAAAGATCATACCGATAGGCATTCCACACTTGTAGTATGAAGATTTGCAATAGCGCAATACCAAGGGGAAAAAAATCATACCAGTAAAATAATCTAAATGTTTCATATAGAGAATGAATGATGTGACTCACGCTAGTCCATGTTGCGGCAAACCCATCTGTTGAGAGCAACCAACTCCCAGCCCTTGCTTGCAAACCTAGTTTACTGTTTGATGTATCTAAATCCAGCAGATCATGGTCGGAGCTGTCATCATCATCAAAGTTCCTTCTCCTTTTCTTTTTGATCTTCTTTTTCTTCCTGCTCTTTCTTTTAGTTGATGCTCTATCATCCAATTCAGAGTCATTTTCTTCTAAGAATTCATCATCATGCAGCGGTGCGAATTTATCAGATTTGCTGAAATTTATACCATTATTTGAAAATAAAGATTCCCAGGCCTCTGGACTCTGGCATTTCTCTGATAATGCATAATGAAAAGCCCACGAGTGAAGCCCTAAGATTTTGATTGCTCCAGTGGTTTTCATGTTTAAGCACTCTTTCAGTATAGGGACAAAGCTATCAGTACAGCTTGAAATTCTGCAGATACCAGACACAATGTCATTAATTTTTGCCTGCCCTTCCTGGGATTCTTCATCATGCAAAAGCTTTAGAAGCTGACGTCCTTGATTGATAACCGCATTCAAAAGAAGCAACTGATCAATAGATTCACAACCACTGAATTTAGAGAGCACAAACTCAAGCAAGCAAGAAGAGTCCCCAAAATCATCAGGTTCCATTCTTCGATTCAAAAATTTACAAAGCGATTCAAGAAAAGTGCAGAATTCCCGCTCTTCAAGTGTGATAAGTAGATGCTGACACAAAACAGAGAAAGGCTCCTCCATAAAAAACTCATTAATGACTTCCCATACATCTCTTGAATCCTCTTTATACATCCACCCAACAAAAAAATCTACAAAGAATTTCGTCTCGATGAACAAAATATCCCCATCTCTTAACGAGTCAGCAAACTCACTAGAAGTCCAAAAGTCAGGCACATTTTCAAGAAAATTTCCCACCGTTCGTAAGATATCCAACTCAAGAAAGTAATGAGGCTTGGTTGCAACCACAGCAGGGGATTGCCCATGTTTACCCTTCCACTCAAGCTCCTCCCAACATATATTTCGATTCACAAACGCGAATTGGGACAGGGCTTTGGCACCTTTTTTATTCCCTAATCCAGTACTGGAAAAGTTGGAAAACCATTGCAATATACGGGTTCGATTTCCTGCATAAATAAAAAATTAAAAAGAAAAATCAAATCAATTACCTTTTATTCACGAAATTAACAATTTGACTAATCAAACCCTAATTAAAAGGGTCAAACACAATTAGCAAAAAAAAAAAAAAAACTTGCCTTCAAAGAATTTATCAAGTACATAACTTCTCTTAGCCAAAAGGTTGCCTGCTTTATGCGGTCTCTTCTGAAAAATTAATTGCCAGAGCTGGGAAGCTAAACCCTTCTTGCTCGTCGTCCTCAATAAGCTCACAAAAAGCTCTCTTTTCTGGTAAGGAGTTAGGGATGTAATGCATGATATAGTGTTGCAAAGCCATAAACGTGCTTCTGATCGGGTAATCAGTGACCAGATAACTGATTCTAATTGCTTCAAAAGCGATATCACTCGATTTGCACGTTCAGTATCCTCCTCGCTCACGTCTTCTTTCCTTTTAGCTTCCTCTCTTAAAAACAACTGAACCATTTTAATTGCCGAAATCTTTCTACGGTAACGAGATAGCTTCCCGGAGCTGCAATCGGAATTCTGGTCCAGTTGTTTCTCTTCTCGCTTTCTGCTTGTTTGTGACCCGTAGTCGTGAGGATTAAGAGGGAGAGGGGAGAACGGCTTGTCGGGTTTTAGACATATGGACGGAAACAGTTGAGTGACATGTTGCTCAGTTCCTACAGTTTAAAAAAATTAATTGATTAGTCCCTTGACCACTTTATAATAATTAACTAGTCCTTTGACCACTTTTGATTGTCAAGTTTTGTAATGGATTCGGTAGTTATTTTCCGTTTAATACCTTGAACATCCTTGATTCTATCATGTAATCATCCCTACAAAAGATAAAAATTCAAATGAATAAGAGCGAAATACAACCTTCAACTATGTTTTGAAATTTTTACAAAACCTTTAGTCAAGATAAAATAGAAAATTAGATGGAATTGCGAGGTGGGTCAACATATTTTTGTCAATATTGGTTTTTTTTCCTAAAAAAGATAATGTTTTTTTCGTTCTTTGTTTTCAATTTTTTAATATACATATAAGATTAGAAAAGAATGGTATTTTTGAAAAAATGAATTGTTAAATCAAAAACATCTTATTAATATACTAAAGAAGAATGGACAGGTTGACTAAATTATTAACGAGTGCAAAATCACAAGAATCATTGAATTATTGTTCATACCATAGAAATTAATTTACTCGTTTCAGTAAACTATAAAGACTGATTCATAAGGACCTCTACACGTATGAATTGTATTCATGATTTATTAAATTATGTTTTATACTACAGTGACTAATTTATTCGTTCAAATAAACATAAGGACTAATTTACAATTAATTCCACGTGTAAATGCTAAATATGGATGGAAAAAAATAAAAAGAAGATGTTTATCTTGGTAACGACATGTCGGATAATACGAGGGTTTAGGTTAAGAACTGGTTATTTCTCTATTAAGAAGCAAAGCCCTAAAAACGTGCGTATTGGATTTTAGACTAGAAGGTTCTTTGTGACTTTGGCTTTTGGAGGAAGTCTGACAGGGTCCAAGGCAAGTACCCAGCGCTTGCTCCATCGGCACTCCATCCTGTTTGCCTTGCGTTCTTTTCCTAACCCTAACTATATCTCCATCAAGCATTATCAATCACCTCCGCCCTCATTCAGCTGGTAAGTGATTGATTCCCAAACCCTAGAAAGCGAAAAGATGCTGCTTTGATTTTTTTCAGGACTGTTTTCGGCTTAAAAAATATGTACATCGAAAAGAATGGAACTTTAACATTATATTTCAGAGCAAGAATCTCAAAACAGTTATCTATATGTTCTCAGTCTGTACTTTGGTAATTTAAATGAATGAATTGTGATTGTTTTGTTCGTTTTTTTTTTATTTGATGAATCAGGTTTTTCTAATGTTGACACTCTCTCACTTGTGTTTATGGGTTCCTCTCATGTCCTAAAATTGTTGTTTGCCGTTGGTGTTTGGTTTACTGCCTATATTACTGTTGCCATCCTCTCGTCTCTACGGGTCTTCACTTCTCTCTGTTCCTCGTGAATTGCCGGCACTAACTGTTTGAAAAAAGCTACCATGGGCTACGCGCAGCTTGTTATTGGCCCTGCTGGCAGTGGCAAGGTGATTTGTTATTTTTTAACTCCTTATTTATGTTGCTTGTTACCACTAAAACCATGTCATCGCCTGCAAAACCTTTAGTGTTTTCTCATTTGTGCGTATATGTGCGGTCGCTTGTCCTCGGCTTGTTTATGCAATTGGTTATTATTTTTCATTTGGTGTTAGACACTTTACTGATTTGTTTTCCCACCAATACAGTCAACATATTGCTCCAGTTTGCACCGACATTGTGAAGCTGCTGGGCGTTCATTACATATTGTGAACCTAGATCCTGCTGCAGAACAGTTTGACTATCCGGTGGCTATGGGTGAGTTGAGTTAACCTGTTATTTGATGTCTTGGAGTAAGGTAAACTGTTTGATTTGCTTACTTGGAGTTCTAAGTTTTGTTTGCTTGCAGATATTAGGGAACTCATTTGTTTGGATGATGTTATGGAGGAACTTGGGATGGGTCCTAATGGTGCTCTGATGTACTGCATGGAGTATCCTTTTGCTTTGTCCAATGTTTGAGTTTCCTTTTTATCCTTTTTCCCGTTCATTAAATAATTTTGTACCGATGTTGCACACTTTTGCTTCTTTGTGTGTTTACTGGAATTTTTTCCTCTTTAATGTTAAAATGCTTACAGGCATTGCCTTTGTGTATTCTCAGCATATAGTTTGAGAGCACAGGCATGGATTTCAGTGTAATTTCTTCATGTGGCATCTTCTGCATTGGTCCAAATGGTTAGAAATGGCTGCTTGCTTAGCATGCTGTGTGATTGCCTAAAGACTCAGTTTTTTTTTTTTCCTCCAATTTGTTTCGTCAAATTTGAAGAGCCTTAATCTGGATGATTAGAGAACTGGAAGACAATCTGGATGATTGGTTAACAGATGAGTTGGATAATTACTTGGATGATGATTACCTAGTTTTTGACTGCCCAGGTGCACATACTTATCTCTCAATGTCTGTTTTTGTATGAATGTCACACACGCACTCTTATAAATGCCCATAGGATATATTTGATTAGATGTTTGTAGTTTTCCCAATGCCCTGAGTTTTTCATGGTAAGTCAACGTGAGCTTTGAGAGGGAATAGCTCAAGGCCTGTTATACTTTATCATTTTTTCGTTTTCTGGACAAAAAAAATTATGCTAGCTTCTTATAAAACTTAAATGTTTTATAGGCCAAATAGAACTTTTTTCACATGTGCCCGTGCTCCGAAACTTTGTGGAGCATTTGAAGAGTAAAAATTTCAATGTTTGTGTCGTATACTTGCTTGATTCACAGGTCAGTTAAAGTTCTCCTTTATTGCCTCTCTTTTACATGCACCAGCTTTATAGTTTGACTAATGGCTATAGACCCTCACTTAGTTTCTAATTTTATTTTTATCAGTTTATCACTGATGTGACCAAGTTCATAAGTGGGTGTATGGCATCTCTTTCTGCAATGGTACAATTTGAATTGCCTCATATTAATATCCTCTCCAAGATGGATCTTGTAACCAACAAAAGGGATATTGAAGAGTGAGTTCATTAATTCTCCACAACTCTCTGGAAGTCGCTATGTCATTCTGAATATGCTGATCTTTTTGCATTTTTCCCCCTGCTTTATAGCTTCTTGAACCCACAGGGTCAAGTTTTGTTGTCTGAATTGAATCAACTCATGGCACCTCAGTTTTTAAAGCTAAACAAAGCTTTGATTGAGCTGGTGAGTTACTATGAGCTAAAGTTGCTTCAATTTTGATGATGCAGCTTTTGCATTTGGTTAATTTGAAATTGTCTTTTTTCTTCTCTTGGTACAAATGAAAATCAATTGTATAACTTGGAGGCTGCAGTTGTTGTTTACTTGAGGTTAAATTTATATCTTTGTGTCTCTCATCTGCTTGATTTGTGTTGTTACTAATTTTTACTTTTCTTTTGTATAAGATTGATCAATATAGCATGGTGAGTTTTGTGCCCCTTGACTTGAGGAAGGAGAGCAGGTAACCCCCCTCCTTCTCTCTCCTCTCTCTCCCATTTATGTGGAATTTGAATGGTTGATGCTGCGGCTGTTGGATTTTGCTATCTGAAGTGAACTTGGTTTGATAAGATATGGTTACATTAAAACTTTCAAATTAACATTACAAAATGTCAATTCAATGGGCTGGCATTTTTAGAAAATATCATCAGATGAAATAATTGATGCCAGAAAATACAATTTACCTGAAAGTTCCAGGTGTAATGTTAATTAGCTTTTGGGCAGATGGATGATATGGTTTCTGTAATTGGAGATAAGGTAGATTTTGTCTGTGATATGACACCATTCTGTAAGTCCTCACTGCACTTTGTTCTAACACGGTAGAGCTGCAACCTTGCTTGGTTTAGGATGTTGCTTCTGACTAAGATGCCTAATTTATGCAACATGGTTTGTATTGTAACCCTCCGGTTAGCAATACAAGAAGCTAACCTAATGTGTATTATAATTTCCTGGGTACAAGAGGTAACAGCTCTTGCACTCTATTCATTAGGAGGGAAGGTGAGGAGGGTGGATGACAGAGGAAGGATCAAATGTTTCCCTTGTTTGGCTGGTTGGATAGAGAACCAAAGGAAGGATCCCTCCTATCCTTCTTGATTTGTAATTTGCAACCTGTCCAATGTCGGCAGATTGGCTTCCATCCTTTCCCGTCCTCTTAAGCCAACAATTAGATTGATGGGTTAATATCTCCCTTTCGCCCTCTATATCTTCCCGCCCTCCATCCTCCCTGACTAAGATACCTAGACCTCAACCCTGTTCTCCATTTTAACTTTGTTCTCGACTGCTGTCTCATCCTTGTTAAGATAATTGTGTTTTATTTTGCAGCATTCGATATATATTGTCTCAGATTGACAACTGCATTCAGTATGGAGAAGATGCAGATGTGAAGGTTAAAGATTTTGGTCCAGAAGATATTGATGATTAGCTGCAGCACTTGAAGATGCCTTCCTTCATGTCAATCAAGATGCTGGCTTTGAAGCAGTAATTCCTTGAAGAACATTATGTAGATAGATTGGTAAAGATGGTCAAGTGAGCGACTTGTCTTTCCCTGGTTTTGGTTTTGGGGGCAAAGAATCCATTTGGGGTTGCTTAAGTTATTGGTTGCTTTTAACAAGCTGAGCGAGTGATCAGTAACATTACCATTGACTGCAAAACTATGCATTTTTTACTTTGAAAATATATGCTGATTTTTATTTTTTATTTTCAAAGTAGGGTTACAAGCCCTGCTTGTTCTTTCTTCGTTCTTTCCTTCCCCCCTCTCTCAAAAGATCAACAACGCATTCCACTTGATAGTTTTCCTTCTACTCAAGCTGAGACCTGAATCAATCTATCGTTTTTGAAGAACTCGACTCAGTTGTATAGGCTATAAATCATAGTATGCTCGTAAGTCCTGGATTCACAATTTGGGAAGGCAAATTCAGATGATGGACCGTTTGAAGAATCCTCGGGTCTACTGTGCTTGGAATTTTAACATGGTTCAAAACGTATTACTGCTGTAAATTTGCATCACAGTTTCCAAGTTGCATCATTGCAGCCATCTCCATTTGTCCAGGTCTCCAAACCTTTGAACTGTAGCGCATCGTTTTAACTAGTCATCATATGGTGACCCTTTTGCAGGGACGCTTTTCCAGTGGGATCTGATACATCGTCAACTCGCACAGTATGAAATAGAAGTTCACAGGAGTAGCCTTGTTCAGAGCCTTGCCCATATTTTCACAGGATTAGCATTTATGTCATGGAGATAAAAAGATCACTACCAGGAGAACCTAAACAAAATCCACTATTAACGAAACAAGCAGATTATACATACACACACACACACACACATTGTCTAGTTATTTATTTATAAACAAAAAATTACATAAACAACAAAATTTGAAGGGGATTGTAGTAAATTTTTATGTAGGATCTCTATAATCTCGGAAGCATATTCTCCTCTAAAAGGAATGTTAGGGAATATATAATTATCTTATGCACAAAACACATGCTCCCGATCAAATAACCTTACAGTTTTCTAGGAAACAATTATTTCTTCTTGGGGGAGAGCAGGGAGGAAAAATCTAAAAGAACTGCAAGTTACTACAGAAGTAGCGCATTGATATTTCCTGTCATCAACAACCAAATAAAACTGAAAAATGCCTGCAGCACGACACTGTTAAAAGTCCGTCATAGCTAAAACAAATTTTTGCATCCAACTGGGAAATTCTTCCTAGTTTACATCTGGCATGCACAATAGGATATTTCCCGAGTGTTCGATCTCACTCATGAGGATCGTATTATTTATTTCACAATCATCGTCTAATAGCCTCACCAGGCCCTATAAATGTTATCTCTTCTCTACTGATCTCAACATTACCTCTATGCAATTTAAACAACTCTATTGCAGTAGTGGATAATTTCCAAGTGCTTCCAATGTACAAAACCATGAGCCTTTTGCACCCCTCTCTCAAAGCTTGCAACCCAAGATCACACAGACCTCGACAACGATTGACATGAAGTTTCTCCAATTTATTGCAATTGATCCCAATAGATTGCCATCCCGCAATCCTGACCCCATGACACAATGCCAAATTCCATTCTTGAAGTGAAGGGCACCCCTCTGCTATTGCTGCAATGGACTCGTCATCAACAGTCCTGCAGAGCCAAAGGTTAAGAATTCTAAGCCTTGTGGCAAAACCTGCACCTATAGCTGCCAATGTGGTGACTCCACTAATCCACCAGTTCATACGAGAAACATTCAAATACTCAAGACCACCTCCACTTACAATTGCCATAATGCCTTCTGGCTCAAGCTTACAAGAATCAGCATCTATATGAGTTAAAGTTGGCGAACACCCTTGAAACCCAGTACCATTTACTTCACTGCAATGAGATACCTGAACTGCCTCCAGCTGATGGCAAGATTGAGAAAGAGCTCTCAGCCCACGGTCAGAAACAAGTGGGCAGTATGAGAGGTTTATGTGCCTCAAGGCTGAGCAACCATTAGCTAAAGTTTCTAACCCAGCATCGGTAAAATTGCAACGATAAAGACTAATAACCTCTAGGGAGGAGCAGCCAGCAGCAACCAGTGAAAGTCCATTGTCAGTCATTCCAAAACAACAGTCCAGACTAAGAGAATACAACTTTGAAGCATAGGATTGCAAGTAGGTTAAGCATAAATCAGACAGCTCAGAGCAACCAGATAGGGACAGATACTGTAAATGCTGAAAACGGGTGAGCAGCCTATGAACATGGAAGGAGCTAGTAATGAGCCCCCTTTGGGATAAAGAAGCATTGGGGAGGGCCAATGAACAATGAAATTGTAAGGACCGACGATGTGTATTTTGAATATTAAGCCAGAGACGACAAGTCAAACCAAATGAGTCACGATCAGAACTACAGCCAAGGAACTGAAAAACAATAGACAGACAATCATTGGGCAGGTGCATGATGGAGGTATGAATATCACTCAAAGGTTCTTCCATAACAACTTTCTTAGCACTCTTCTGAAGGCTGTAGAGCTCGGATTTTTATGCTGAATTTTTTATAAGCTGAGCTTGATGAGTTGGGAGAGTCAAAACTGCATAGAGCAGGTGAATCTCCATATCCATAGCCTAATTGAACCCCACATTTACGACAAAGAAGTTTACTTTTTGAACGATAACGACCCCAGGACACAGGAAGACAGTTTACCTCATCAACCTGTGTGAATCGACTAAGATCAACAGAAAGGAACGAGATATAACCTTTCTTTATAGATTTCGGATATCCAGAACCTATGTTGCAGGTGATTTGATGGGAAGATGTTAAATTCAAGGGGTATCCACAAGAGCCACAGCTGCAAAGGAGAAAAACCATCATATATGCAGCATAAGAGAAACACAAAAATCACAATATTTACTACATAAAACACCAAACTAATGAAGAGGAGGGCATGGCTATGATAGATAATAAAGCTAATTTGCTAAGCTGTTTAAATCTTAAGCAATTTGGCTGTGATTTTTAACATTCTACAGCATCTTGGCTCTTTGGACAGCACAGGATTTGTTGTAATAAAGAAGATATGACACCTGAGAGTAGCAAGTTTGCACGGCCAGAGGCTTTAAAAGGATAAAAAATTGCAGAGATGCAAAAGAACATCAGTGGACCAAAAGCTATGATTCCTGGCAGTCTGGAATATCAGCAAGTACAAATGGCTAAGAGAGGTGGTGATGGGGATCACTGGAAGCACCATTGGAAGGAGCTTGAAGACTGGAAAAAAAAAAAACAAGAACTGAGTTATGGCCCGAAGCAGATGGAACAGTGAAGAAATTCAACAGAGAAACAAACACGTATTGTTTTCTCAGCAATTTAGTTGGCAGATTTTTGTCACAAGTTTCTTGCAATGTCAGATAACCCAAGTGCTGAGTTTATCTATCAAAATGTTAACAATAACATGTAGAATGTCTGAAAAGGGGCCTTCTAGGATTCCATTATGGAGGGGCAAGAACTTGAATGGTGATAGAAAAGCTATTGAATAATGAGATAAACCATACCAGACTCAACCCTTACAAATGAATCAGCTAAATATCAGTGGTACCTTAAAGCTATAAAGTCTCAAAAATTTGTCGAGAAGAAAAAACAAAGACAGTTAAGTATGACTAGATTGAACAACTAGTGCCTCCTTGACAGATAACTAAAGTAATATTGCTGCTCTTCGAGTATGATTAGAAGGGTCTGTTCTTTTAGAATATGAAATAATAAAGGCGATGCAAAGGATTAAAACAGCAATTTAACTGATGGTATCCCATCAAACAACATGAAAACTGCAAAGGTAGCCTCTTAAACATACTTAGACATTCAAAATATATGCATTCATAGATTTGAGGGTTGGCGCTTTACCAGATTCTCTTATTGAGCGGCATAATTTACCACTACACAACTGCTTTAAACAACATTTCTAGCCTAACATTCCTTAAACTACACAAAAGAAATACGAGATTTATCGTGGATAACCAAAATTGGTCTGCACATCATAGATCAAGAAAGAACCACTCTCTAGCTGTATTATTACTATCAACAACAGTTACATTTGCAGCTCAAACAAAAACTTTGTTCTTGCAAATAGTCTTGGATTTAATAACCGGAAGAATGACAGACAATTCTCAAACCAGTGTTGTTATTACTCTAATCATCTAATGTGAACCCAACAAACCAATATCTTTATTCATCACAAGAGCACATTGCACTGGCATAAAAATAATTCCTGATATACTAACAAAAATGCCAAGCAAATCAGAAAATAAACCCAATCCAAGCATCTGCCTTCACTTCTTTCAGTGACCAATTATCGAGAGAAAAAAATCAATGAAACATACAGATAGAACATATCTTCTACTTCGTTTTAGCAGGATTTGGGTTAATTGAAAGCACTACCCCTATAAATTCTTTTGTCCTTTCAACAAAAACCATGCTGGCCATCAAGATGAACATATTTTATGCGCAAAAAGATAGTGAATATTTCTAGCACTCAGCGGTCAAGTCAAATCAATTCTTTGGACAAAAAAAAAAAAATCAAAGCACACGAAATACGCTGAACCCACATAAAAAAGAAAAAAAAGCCAACAAAGTTATGATCCAAGATTGATAACAGAGGAAAACGGAGGCACCTGTAAGAGACGTCAGCTTGGGACATATCCTCGGCTTAAAGATCAGAAATTTCCTTTTCCTGAAATCTCATTGTCATTATCTGACAACTTGAGGAGCAGCAGCAACGTTGGTAGTTGGAACAATGGTTTTGCTATCGTTGTTCAGTTAATTAAAGAGTGATGGGATGGATTGAGAGCTTTTGGTTTCAATGAATTTGAAGCTCCTTTCCTCTCCTCTCTGTTTTCTTTTGACTTTGATATTTTATTTTCTTCTTTCTAACCTAACCGTAAGATGTCAACAGTAAACTATTATAATTAGCTTAAACCAGTGGTTAGCCTGCGCTGTGCTGTGATCCGATACAAACAAAATTATTTTAAATTTTTAAATTTTTTTAGTTATAAAACTTTTTTAATTAATTTTATAATTTTTTTATAATTTTTTTTTTGAAAAAAAGCATAAATCATTCTTCTTTATGGATTGATTTTAATATTGGTAATTTTAGCTAAAATATTAATAATAATTAAAAAAAAACTTTAAAAATATAATTTTTTAATTATAATTTTTTTAAAAATATAATTAAAAAAGAATAAAATCATTTAAAATTTTTAAATTTTTTAATTATAAAATTTTTAATTAATTTTTAAATTTTTTTTTATAAATTTTCTGCTTAAAAAAAAGTATAAACCATTCTTCTTTATGGATTGATTTTAAAATAAAAAATATAATAATTTTAGCTAAAATATTAATCAAGAATTAAAATTTTTTAAAAAAAATATAATTTTCATAATATTGTATTTTAAAAAATAAAGATATAATTAATAGACAAACTTTTACAAAAATTAACAAATAAAAAAATTCTTATTTAATGCTAATGAAAAGATTAATTTTTGAAATTATCCGTACGAGTGTTAAAGGCGAGATAAAACAAAATCATTTAAAATTTTTATAATATTTTCATTATTTTTATTTAATTATTAATATTTTTTTCGTTTTTCATAAAATTTTTGTTTAAAAAAACATAATTTATGTTTCTTTATTCAAGGATTCTTTAATAAAAACTTATAATAATTTAAACTTGATATTAATTAAGAATTAAAAAGCAAATACTTTAAAATTATATATTTTCTATAAGAATGTATCCAAAAAATAAAATTACAATTAATGTACAAACTTACATAAAAATTAACCAATGAAAAAAATAAAATTTTATTCTTATTTAATGTTGGTGAGAAAATTATTTTTTTTCAAATATATGCATTAGATCTATATATATTTATCTACAAAATAATCAACAAAATTAGCCTAAAAAACTACATTTGAATAACTTGTTGGGTCCTTTAAAAAATTATTCTAATTATTTTATTTCAAATAAATTGGTTTTATAGTGTTAAAAAAATATTCATAGTAAATAATTTGTATTATGTTAGAAGATGTATAGTTAATTTTTAATAAAATAAATGATTCGATAGTTTTTTTATATGTCTTGACCATACCTAATGAACTAAAACAAATTATTTAAAATACATTTTTAATCTTTTAGAATAAAATAATTATATCTTTATATATATGCAACTATCATTTAAAAATTCTAAGAATTCATGATATATATTATACCATTTTATATTTTTAAAAAGGAAAAACAATCATGTTTTAAAATTTTATTCGAAATTCAAATATAGAGAAAAATAAATTATATTTATCAGTAAATAAAATCTTATATAAAAAATATTAATTGGATGAAATTTTTCATAAAAAATGATAAATTCATATAAAGAAATTTAAATGATAAGAGTAATATAAGATGACGTAAATGTTAATTTTAATATATATATATATGTGTGTGTGTGTGTGTGTGTGTGTGTGTGTGTGTGTGTGTGTGTTGTCTGCATGAAAGTGAAAGAAAAATGAAAACTAAAGATTGAAAAAAATATATTGCAACATGAGGAATGAAAAAAAGAAAAAGTTTTAATTTTGTATATTAATGGCAAAAAACATACAAAAAACGACATACAAAAATAACTTAAATTGTCATCAAGTGAATAGTAATTTTATGCATATTAAAAATAACCGAATATGAATTTTAGACATATGAATAGTTTAAATTATTACGCTACGTTGCGTATCGAACTAAACATATTTGGTTCAACTTGGATAACATATACTATGTTATCAATTAATTAAAATATATTAAATTAAATATAAAATATAAAATTTCATCTAATTTTATAATCTTTAATATGTGTGTGTGTGTGTGTTTTTTTAATAAATTTTGAAGTAAAAAAAAATGATTTATTCTTTCTTATGCATTTATTCTTAAATAAAACCCGTAATATATAAATTTTAATATAAATTTCTTTTAAAAAAACATTTTAATATTTTTTCATTACATTACATCAAAAAAATAAAGCAACAACTAATATAAAAACTTCTATGAAAATTAACAAATGAAACTTTTTTTACCGATGAGAAGATTATTTTTTTAAATATATACATTTGATTTATGTATATTTACTTACAAAACAATGAATAATATTAGTATACAAAATTGTATTTGAATTATTATGTAGTTATTCTAAAATATTATTTCAATTATTTTATTTGAAAAAATCATTTTAAATATAAAAAAATAATAGCAAATAATTGTATCGTATGTGTAGATGCATAATTGATTTCTAATAAAATCAATAGCTCTTATGTTATTATTTTTGATATATCATGACCGTACTCAATAAGTGAGAATGTATCAAATAAATTTAAAAAATAAATGGTATAATATATATATTGAAGTTAATAGTGTACAATAAAAACTATAAAACTAATTTTGATAAAATTTGTTATGCAAAAAATAAGAAAATAAAATAAATATGTTCAATTTTTAAAATTTGACTATATAACAACTAAGCAAATAAAAACAAGTGTAGAAAAAAAAACTTATTCGAATACATACATAGAGAAAATAAGTCATATTTATTAATAAATAAAATTATAAAAAAATAAGAATAAAACATATCGTAAAAAAGTGTATGAGCAATTTCTCGTCATATACAACCTCGGTCATTTTGCTACAATACACTCGTAGGTGAGTCATTAGGCACCAAGTGCTCATGTATTTGGTAAATTCTAAGTGCTCTAAACTTCTTAAAAATTACCATGTCCGACACTAAACACATCTCAAAAGCTCTTACAACATCATACATATCGGTGGTTTCAATAGCCTCGAGACGTTCTTTAATTACCAACGACTTGTCGAAATTAGGTTCCTCTATACCTTGATTTTATCAATCTCTTCTCTAATAAAGTCCATAATAGATGTGTCTTACATCTATAAAGCTTCATGAGCTTACTCGTTTAAGAAAACTACCCAACATGGAATGACGTCTTAATAGAAAATGTGATTATCCTTAGATTGGCGAGATGGGATGGTGGATGACCCGTGTTGTATATTTGGAAAAGGAATGGGATATGGACTTTCTCTCTAAATCTAACCCAAACTTTATGTGCCCTCTCCATTCGATAGTGTCCGTGGTTTCCTTTCTAGTAGGTTGAAAAGTAGGAAATTTATCCATTCATTGCATCAAGTTCTTATTAATGGGCTCGTTTCAACTATGTCCTCTCTTCATTCTCTATCTATCATTATTGAAGTCAAACATAGTGTGTTAGGGAAGAAAGTTGAGTTTTAACGAGGCGGCTCGTATTTCAATTCCTAAAAAACTCAAAATAAATATATATATATATATATATAACACTAACACACACACAAAATATGAATTGGGTTGAATATGTTACTCGTCGTTGTGAACTTCACAAAGTTTGTATTAAGGACGGACCAAATCAAATTATAAGTACTCGTTGAGAGTATAACACCACATCTACTTTAGACAATTTGGAAAACATACCTACCTTATTTTTCTACCCTTTATTGGTTGAGATCCCGAGTGATAACGAATCTTGTAGTAGCATACACTTAAGAAATTAAAATTTTGACTTCTAACATATTTTAAATGTGACTTAGAAATACTTTTTTATCGAAGGTAAAAATTGTATAATTTTTTGTTTATATTACAATGGCTACTAAAAAATAAAACAAACACTACAACCACTTAACTTATATTACAATGCTCTTACATAAATGATCCATATTCTACTCTCTCCATCATATTCTAGTCTCTCTACAACCTCAAATTAGGATATAAGGCAGCAGTGGCTATGAGGTTTTTGAGTCTTATATAGAAAAATACGAGGTCATCTTTGGTGGTGTGACACCCCCATCCCGGTTCACTCTCTATTACCCAAATAGGAGCAACTAGGCGAGGTGTGTCACATTGATACGACCAATCTTCGAATTAACCTTGGACACGTACGTACTCATACGTTAAGGATTTATATACCATGAAACGCGTACAAAATAATTTACATAATATTAACAATATAGTGGAAGAAATTATAAAATTTATTTACAACATCATCAAAATGTTCCTCGACACCCCAACCTCAAAATTTACAAACAAAATAAAACCCTCTAAGGTTTATGTCACCCCCGAGCCCTTTTGGAGGATCCGGAAGCGTCCTTATTGGTACTAAGTCACCGCTACTCGTCATAACATGCAAATAACAACGAGGTGAGTCGAAGCTCAATAAGTGGGGTGATGTACGTGATATGCAATGCTTTTCCGACTTCCTATCATTCTCATCAATTTTTAATTTCGGGTACCACTAGGTATTAGCGGTCTACTCTATAGGTGATGATCGAATAATCAAATGCTAACAACGGAATTATCCCTTATCGTAGCCACCGCTAATGGGAATCCATCGCCTAAAAGTGCAAGCACACAGCTTAGAGTACGCACACGAACTTGGACCGCTAACCTCTTTTTATTTGATTGGGTTACCAAACCTATTCATACAACTTCATTCTCAATTAATTGATTCTCGTTCTCATTTCTTTTCCATTGATACATATGATGCATGTGATACCACAATTACAATACCAAGGATATTGGATATCAAACCCTATACCGTTTTTTCATCCTCAATATCCAACCCATC